TTAAGCATATGAGTAGTTCTATTCATTTCAGGTATGTGAGTAGTCCCTTGCTTCCATTTAGACACATACTTAAATATTCTGCTGAATCAAGCCTTCAGACAGTAATACCAATTTATCTGCTGACCCTTTTTATCATGATAGAAGCCTGAGAAACATTACTGTCTGAGAAATGGTTTGTGATAAGTTGCAACATAAAATCATGTAGTTTAATCAAGATTAGGGAGGATCATTAGGAACTTTGGTAGCAGGGTGTATGAGAAGAAGGCAAATGACTGAGCAATGTTAAAGCAAATGAAATTCAGCATAGATGAATGTATGGTTTTATGAGAAGCAATTTCATTCCAGGCACATCTTATTTTCATGACACAAACGCTCTTACATTACTTTAAGTTATGGTAAGAGGAAGCTGCTTACCAAATTTGGTGGGCCTAGTTCTTACTGTTTAGAAGAGTTCTTGAACAGACAGACAAACTCTCTTAAATATATAGTGGAAGATAATGTACTGTTTAAGAAAAACAAATACATGAACACTTTTTCTTCTAATGCTTGGCACTGTATCTGTGTTCTGCTAGCCCAGTCTTCCTTTTTTCCACAGAAGTGAGAGCCAGACTACTGCTTTATCACTGATAGCTGATGGAAACTGTCAGCTCTCTTTTAAAGCAAACTGTAGTGTAAGATTAGGAACAGAACACTTGCAAAACTAGATCTTGATCTCTTCCTCAAAGAACAGGATAGTCTCTCTTCCACCACAAGAAATACAAATGCAAACACCCCAGCTGCCCCTGCCATTCCAATAAAATAGACAAATATTTCAATTATATTCTGAAACTCCAAAAAGGAAATATAACTTAACTCCCACCCCACCGCCAGTTTGATCTAGTGGACAATTTTTTATATTACCCATTTATATTAAATGTAATTTCCCCTCATAAAGTACGGTCAGATTTAGCAGAGAATATAATAAATGGTTTTATTTCACATATTCCCATGTCCAGCCTCAACTCAGGAGGGCCTGAAAGCAATCCTAATCAGCATCTACAGTGCCTGCCCCAGGCCCAAACTGAAGGGAAGGATTTTAGGTATCCGTTTAATCAGGTATAGAGGGGCTAAAAATGAAAAGGGAGGTCCTCTAGTTTAAATGATAAGATTCAGACTTAGATAACTTGTTTTGGTGTTGACAATCATCTGGCCTGCATGTCTTCATTGAAAGGCTTTATTTGCAATGTCCAGTGTGTGGAATATATGAGTATAGTGCAGGACTTTCCCTTTGAGTTTTTAAGCTTCTATCAGAATTGGAAAAATATTTTAAAAACTGAATCAGTTGAGGCAAACTAAGTTTGTGGCATAGAATGATCTCAGGTAACATTTTACAGAACAACTAAATAACTTAGGAGTCTGAGTCCCATTTTCAAAAGTAATTTAAATCTAGTCTATACTACAAACCTATATCAATATAACCACATTAGTAATGGATGTGAAAAATCCACACCCGTGAGCGGTGTAGTTATATCAACCAAGCCCCTAGTGTAGACACCACTCTGTTGGGGGGAGAACTCCTAGCTACAGTCTATCAAAGAGGTGGATTAGTGGCACTGATGGGAGAAGTCCGCCTGTCTGCACAGGTCGCATCTATGCAGTTGCGCCACTGCAGCATTTTAATTGTAGACAACCTCTATGTTTCTGCAGCAAAATGACTAAATCAGTTGAAAGAAGGATACTGTTCAGTTGGTGTGCCCTCCCTCGCTTCAGTGCTATCAGTGAATGAGGGCTTAAACTGCTGCAATGCACTGCGGCAGTGGTTCAGTGAAGACGCTACCTTTGCTGATGGGAGTGGTTCTCACATAACATGGAGGCTTGGAGCTCCCCTCTGCAGAGGAATGAGATAGCACTCACCGCTCCAACCCCACAAGGGGGCCTTGAAGGCTCAGGACTTCCTCTAGGCCCAGGGTGTTGCCAGAAATAAGGGGTCCAGAAATAAGGAGGAGGCTCTTGGATGAGGCAGCGGGTTGAGGAGGGCTCCAGTTAGGGTTGTGGGCTTGAGGATGGGCCTGCAGATGAGGGGGTTGGGCTGTAGGAGGAGGTTCCAGGCTGAGGCTAAAGGGTTCATCGTGTGAGAGCGGGAGGAGGGCTGGGACAGAGAAGTGGGGTGCAGGATCTGGGAGGGAGTTAGGGTGTGGGAGAGGGTGTGACGGATCACCCCCCTCCCCATGCTATATGAAATGGGCTTATGGATATGAATATACATAATTCAAAGCAGTTTTGAGTGAATCATTTTGTGTAACCCATCAATCTTCATGTCATGATCCGCTGGTTCTGATGTATGAATCATGTGTGTGTGTAAAAACTAGACATGTGGAGTGGGGAATACTTGGTGGGTTTCAAATGTTTGAATGAGGGACATGGGGAGTGTTCCTCTCATGATGAGCAACTGTTAAACAATCGCTTTTGTCCTTAAGTCTGAGCAGGGGTTGGTAGGGAGTGGCCTCAAATCTTTAACAAAAAGAATAAGAAAGCAGAGGCCTTGGTCTTTCGGCTGGGCAGCACCTGAAGGAAAGGACCCCAGTGTGGGGAGACAGCCCTGGTTTGGAGGGGCAGCTGGAAAAGAGGTTTTAGGGTGAGTTTGAGTAAGTTTGTACTGAGGTTTCAGTGTAGAATTAGCCACGTGTTTTGTTTCTTTTGATTTATAACCTACTTTGTTCTGCCTGTTCTCACTTATTACCACTTAAACCCTACTGCTTCCACTTAAAATCATTTTTATTTTCCATCAAACCCAGTGTAAATAATTGTAACTGAGGGAAAGGGGGAGGGCAACCAGTGTGCACATTTCCCCTTTCATTGTTAAAGGTGGCTTATCCTTATCTAATTCTTTGGGGTTTGCGCCCATCTGGGAAGTGGTATCCCAGGGAGTTGGGCCCTAAACTGCACTCTCCTTAGACCTGAAAAGGTTCAGTGTCCGTACTGCTTCTCGACCGGGGCAGGGACCTCAGCTCGGGGCCTTGGCTAGGGGAGACCAGCGGAGCTGCCCCAGCAGCACTGGGCAGTGAGGAGCCCCAGAGGATGGGAAGGTGAGTGGCAGTGGCCGTTTCAGCACCCTGAGAGGCACGCCCGAGGGGTCATCTGTGACTGGACCCCGTCAAAGCGGGTTCTGACCTTGGGGCAGGGGTGGGGATGCAGGCTCTGGGAGTTAGGGTGCAGAAGGAGTACTGATCTGGGGCAGGAGGTTGGGGTGTAGGCCCAGGCCAGGTGGCGCTTGCCTCTGGTGGCTCCTAGTTTGCAGGGCAGAGGTGCTAAAGCAGGCTCCCTGTCTGCCTTGGTGCTGTGCTGCTCCCAGAAGTGGCCAGCACATCTGGGCCCTAGATGGAGGCCTGGCCAGGAGGCTCCAGATGCTTCCCATGCCCATAGGTACCACCCCCACAGTATTCATTGTCCATGGTTCCCAGCCAATGGGAGCTGTAGAGCCAACACCAGGGGCAGCGGGCAGTATGCAATTCCCCTGATTGCCTTTGCACCAAAGGGCCACACCGACAGGGACACACCAGCCACTTTTGATAGCTGTGCAGAGCCGACCAGACTTTTAATGGCCTGGCAATGGTAGCTTTTGCCCACAGTGAGGTGAACTGGTACTGCAGGGTTGGGGAGGAAGAACCTAGGCTCCGGGTTTCTGGCCCATGGTGTGGAAACGTGCTGTGAGGCAGATGAAATTAGGCAGTGAGCTGGATCCAGTGCATGGACTGAGGGGTTCCCCATTCCTGTCAAAGGTCATTCACTTGCCTGAGAGAATAGATTCCTCCTGTTGACTGATCACCAGTTACACAGGGGATTAGGTCATCTCAACTGCATTGCTCTTGAATGTGGGGTTTTCACACTCCTAAATGCCATAGTTTCCTAGAGTACACCACGCAGGAATATTAAGTTAACTGTTTATGCAAGGGGTACACAGTTCAGGATACACAGAGGCAATTCACAACAGTATGGACCTCGCCAGAATCAGAAACTAGTTAAAGTTCTAGCTAGCTCAGTGTCCGTGTTATCTTCTCTTCACAATAACATTGTTGGGAGTGTATAAACTCCCTGTAAGACAGAAGCCTTATCCAACTCTGCAATGGCCTTGTAACTGAAAATATGCTCTACATAGTATTTCTTTTAACATGTTAGTACCAAAAGTTTTCTCAGAAGATAATATCAGTATATGGCAGAAACATGCTTCCAAAAAATAAACTAACTCAAGAAGTTTCCAGAGACATATTTACATATACAGGTGGTAACTTTCACCCACTTCCAAAATATAACAGACTAGTCATGCAACAGTTTTCCTTGCTAAGCATAAACATCCTAAAAATCCTGGGAAGTTTCACTGAGAGAGTTTTCGAAGAATGGCCCAATACTGCTGTCTGATTTGTAGGGGCAGACCTTTGTTACTGCACAGAGTTCCACTGAAAATACAGGGAGATTCACATATGAAAATGAAATTAATAGGTAGCAGGTTTAAAACAATCAAAAGGAAGTTTTTCTTCATGCAGTGCACAGTCAACTTGTGGAACATGTTGCCAGAGGATGTTGTGAAAACTAGGACTTTAACAGGGTTCAAAAAAGATCTAGATAAATGCATGAAGATTAGTGGTTATTAGCCAGGATGGGTAGAAATGGTGTCCTTAGCCTCTGTTTGTCTGGGAATGGATGACAGGAGAGGAATCACGTGAGGATTACCTGTTGTGTTCATTCCTTCTGGGGCATCTGGCATTGGCCACTGTCAGAAGACAGGATATTGGGCCGCTAGATTGACCTTTGGTCTGACCCAGTATGGCCGTTCTTATATGTATAAGTGGCTACCAACATTGATCCAATTATAGCATTGATGCCTTATATTCCTGGGTTTGGATCACCTTGCAAGATTCTGGTTGATTCAGGCTTTAATACTCCTTTCTTGTAACAATTGTGGGGTTTGAAACAAGAGGTCTGATGTGGATGTTTGCAATTTTCAAAAAGAAAGTATGTCATACCTTTGAAAAGTCCAGGATGAGATGGGTTCTCTGTAATTCTTCTCATTCCCGAAGTGATGTTTTAAATTAGGGCAACTGCATTAGTAAAGCACAAAAAAAGGTTATTATTTTACCATCACCTTCTTATCCAAGCCAGCAGTTGGGCATGTACTTAAATACATCCCTTTTCTGGAAAATGTCACTGGGATTTAAGCACATGTTTGCAGTTAAACACATGCTTAAGAACATTCCTCATCAGAGCTGTTCCTGAATCAGTGCATTAGCCCTGGCTAAAACAGTACATGAAAGCAGAGAATTCCAGCAGGTTAAGATTTAAACCTATTTTAGCTTGTTCAGTGGTTTCATGAATTTGCGAAAGTTTTGGTGTTCTCTCTGATGAATGCTGATAGTTAAAGAATGCAAGGGAATTAAAACTGTTCTTTTAATTTTAAGAGACAACTTTTGCTTACCTTACTTATGTAATAGCGCAGGAAGTTTTTCTTACTTTGGCAAAGAAATTACTGGAATTGCTCCCTTAGCAACAAATCAATTGCTAACAATGTGGCTACCTTTTAGTACAGTTTTATTATGATACAATTGAGTAGGGCAGCATTAATAGTGAATTCCTTATCAGAAACTGCCAATGCTTCAAACAGGTTTACAGTGGATAATGCAAACCTAGGATTTCATTTTACTCTGGTGAACTTTTCAGTCAAATACAGATAACTAAGAACCCTTTAAAAAGTAAAGGCTTACTCCAAAAAAGACTTAGGCATATTCTTGAATTCAACAAGACTACTCACAGTGTAGTTAGACGTGTTTAAATCTTTGTAGGGTGATGGCCTAAATGTTATGAGACTCTACAAATGTTGGGAGTTTGGCTCCACAGAGCTGACTATCTTTCTATCATGCTTCCTCAGCTGATTGACACAAAGTAAACTTAGTATGAATGAAAGCTAAAAAACTCTCCAATATAGTAAAAAATTAATGTTCTCATGCTTTTATATTATTGTTACTGAGATTTGTTCCAGTCTGAGCACCAGTACAGTTAAACGGAACATGTCCACCAGGTGGTGCCATTGCACAATATCAGCAAAAGTGACTGTACAATATGCACCAAACTTGAGTTAGTTTACAGCTAGCCTGGTGAAATATTTTGGATGAGATATTTCTTTTTAGATTTGAATTTCCTTTCTTTTAAAAACTAGAAAATTGGAAGAATCAACCTCCAATACCGTTTATAGAAAAAAGAAATAATGAAATACAACAGAATTTGAATTTACTGTCCTTGAAACATGAAAGTGCTTTTATCCTAAAGTTTACAAGCTTTGCCTTGCACCTGTTAAGAGTTTAAAAATATTATTTTTCTTCAATGAAAGCTCTAATTTTTCATCTAATAAAATGAAATGCACATGCACAGGCCAAAACTTCAGTACAAACTATAAAATGTAAACAAATCTCAAACGTTGCCTAGTTCATACCGAGGCATGTGCATATTTTTATTATAAAAACTGGGCATATGGTAAATTTTTCAAAAGTGTCTAAGTGACTTCAGAGCCTAAATCACATTTTCAAAGATGATTCAGGGACAGATTTTCAAATGTATTAGGGGACCTCACAACCTAATTCCTATGCAGGATTCTCATGGGACCTGCACAGAAGTAAGATATGAAGCACTTTTGAAATTCCCAGTAGATATTGATAGGTGACTAGATAGCTTAACGATCTGTCTGGTAGGCATTTAGAAACCTAAGGGCAACATTTTCCAAAGTGTCATTGGAACCTAAGTCCCATTTTCAAGTGGGAATTAGGAACTTTGGGTATGTCTACATAGCATTTTGGAGTCTGTGGGAGCAAGCCTTCCATCCTGGGTCAGAAGACCCAAGCTACAACTTCAAGGAGCTGTCTACACAGCTATTTTAGAGCATTAGCATGTGCCCTGCTAGTCTAAGTCTTTGGACTTAAGCTGGACATCTCACTCCCACAGGCTCCAAAATGACGAACAGGCATATCGTTAACTACTTTTAAGAATCTGGGCCTTAGGAGCCTGTGCCTCATTTTTTCAGGAAGAACGGCTCTTGCGCAAGAGGGGGGTTTTGCGCAAAAAGGGGCCGTCTACACAGCTCCTTTTTGCGCAAAAGCCTCTTATGCAAAAATGGCCCCATAATTAATTATGCAATATGCTAATCCATGATTCATTAGCATAAGCTTTTGTGGAAGAGAGGTGCAGTATAGACATAGCCTAAATGTCTAAAGTAGGATCATCAGGTGTCCAGTTTTTGAACAGAATGCCCTGTCAAAAAGGGACCCTTAAGGTTCCAGTCAGTAATTAAAGTCCAGGCCACAGTACAGCAGGGCTAAGGCAGACTCCCTGCCTACCCTGGCTCTGTGCAGCTCTCAGAAACTGTAGCATGTCCCTTTGTCCCCTACATACAGGATGGCCAGGGAGCTCTGCGTGCTGTCCCCATCCCAAGTGTCACCTCTGCAGCTCCTCTTAGCTGGAAACTGTGGCTAGTGGGAGCTGTGGGGACAGTGCCTGCAGGCTTTTAGGGGCCACAGGCCATGCCACCCTTTCTATGAGCCATGCAGAGCCAGCACATAAGGGGAGTCTGAGCCGCTATGCTGTAGACTGAGAGCCACCTGAGGTAAGCACTGCCCAGCCAGAACCTACATCTACTGTTCCCTGACCCAGGTCGGAACCCCCTTGTGCACCCTTACTCCTTCCCAGAGCCCTGACTCCAACATCCTGCCCCAGCCCTGAGCCCCACCATGCACCTAAGCTCCCTTCTGGGAGTTTCGATTTGTATATTCACTCCACACCCCCTCCTGCATCCGCACCCTCTGACCCAGCTTTGAGCCTCCTCTTGCACTTGAAACCCCTTGGTTCCAGCCCAAAACCCCCTCCTGCACGCCAATCGTCTGTCCCAGCCTGGTGAAAGGGAGGGTGGCAGAGAGCAAGTGACAGATAGAGGGGGGTAGAGTGAGCTGGGGAGGGCCTCAGAAAGATGGGTCAAGATGGGACTTCCAGTGAAGGGGTGGAACAGAGGAGAGGGGCAGAGGTGTTCAGTTCTGTGTAATTGTTGGGAACCCTAGTCTAAGGGCTCCTGCACGCCAATCGTCTGTCCCAGCCTGGTGAAAGGGAGGGTGGCAGAGAGCAAGTGACAGATAGAGGGGGGTAGAGTGAGCTGGGGAGGGCCTCAGAAAGATGGGTCAAGATGGGACTTCCAGTGAAGGGGTGGAACAGAGGAGAGGGGCAGAGGTGTTCAGTTCTGTGTAATTGTTGGGAACCCTAGTCTAAGGGGGTATGTCTACACTACAAAGTTAGTTCGAACTAACGGACGTTAGTTCGAACTAACTTTAATAGGTGCTACACTAGCGCTCTGCTAAGGAGTTCCACAGGTTAACTATTTGCTTTGTCAAGAACAACAACTTTCTCTTACTAGTTTCAAGCCTGCTACCCATTCCTTTCCTTTGGTGTCCTCTAGTCCTTCTTTATGGGATCTCAGGAAGAACTTTTCTGAATGCACCCTCTCCACCCAACCCCTGCTTTTAGAGACCTCTATCCTGTCCCCCCTCCGTCTCCTCTTTTCTAAGCTGAACAGTCCCAGTCTCTGTAGCCTTTCTTCATCTGGGACCTGTTCCCAACCCCTGATCATGTTAGTTGCCCTCCCCTCTCCCAGCCTTTCTCTTCCCCTCTCCCACCTCCTTTTCCCAGTCTCCCCCAGTTTTTTTCAATAAAGACAGAGTCAATGTTGGAAGAAACGTTATCTTTATTTTGTACATCAATAAGAAGGGGGGCTAGGGAAGGGTAAGTGGAAGGAGGTGAGGGAGGAATGGGGTACGAGCCCCCGATGGGGAGGACTGGGCTGGCTCTGCGGGCTTCTGGGGGTGGAAGCTCTCCTGCAGCCCCCCAATTACTCCCTCTCCCCAGATGGCAGCCTGCGGCAAGTGCAGCTGGGCTGATGGCCGAGTGGTGTGATGTGCCCAGTGTGGGCACTCAGGGCACTCCAAGCCAGAACTTCTTTGCAAGCGGGGCACCCCTTAGAACTGTGTGTCCGGGGTGGGGGTCGGGACCCTTTAAGCGCAGCCCTCGGCTAGCCTGAGACAGCATCTCCATGCTCTAAGTCCTCCTTTTATGCCCTGCCGGCACTGCTTCCGGCCATCCTTAAGCCCTGTTCAGAGTCCACTCAATGTGGACTTGCTAGTTCGAACTAGCAAAACGCTAGTTCGAACTAGTTTTTAGTTCTAGATGCGTTAGTTCGAACTAGCTTAGTTCGAATTAACTAATTCGAACTAAGTTAGTTCGAACTAGCGCTGTAGTGTAGACGTACCCAGGGTGTGTTTACACTGCAATTAAAAACTTGCAGATGGCCCACTGCTTTGGGCTGGCTGGGGGCGGGTTGAGGGAGGGGGTGTAGGCTCTGGCTGGGGTGAGGAACAGTGAGAAACAGTGTTCCCAGTAAGCTGAATGCTTTGGTAGCCACTCAGGAGGATAAGGGGAAATTTAATTGCAGTGAAGAGGTTTGAGCTCAGGTTGGACCCCGGGCTCTGGGGCCCCATGAGGAGGTGAGGTAATACGAAAAATCTTACAGTTGTCCTATTTGCATTTTTAGATACCTAAAAACATTTAAATATCTGACCCAAAGTGTCTCTGGTTAACCTAGAAAGGTGTCCATATTGCTCCAACTAGAATAGAAATATACTGGACCAAATTTTGGCACACACTCTTTTCTCCTCAAAAAGATGGTGTTATTAATCTATTATTTATATTATTGCAGGACTAGATATGCTTATAAGTTGTAAAAATAACATTTTTCAGAGAGGTAGCCACATCAGCCTGTTTCAGCAATAACTAGGAGTCTGGTGGCACCTTAAACACTAAGGGTATGTCTACACTACAGCGCTAATTCGAACTAACTTAATTCGAATTAGTTAATTCGAACTAAGCTAATTCGAATTAGTGCATCTAGACCTAAAAACTAGTTTGAATTAGCATTTTGCTAATTCGAACTACCATGTCCACATAGAGTGGACCCTGAACCGAGGTTAAGGCTGGCTGGAAGCAGTGCCGGCAGGGCATCAGATGAGGACTTAGAGCATGGAGCTGCTGTCTCAGGCTAGCCGAGGGCTGTGCTTTAAGGAACCCAACCCCCACCCCAGACAGACAGTTCTCAGGGCTTCCCCGCTCACTTGTCTAACTCTATGAGGGACAGCAAAGCAGTCCTGGCTTGGAGTGCCCTGAATGCCCACACTCGGCACATCACAGCACTCAGCTATCCGCCCGGCTGCACTTGCTGCAGGCTGCCATCCGGGGGGGGCGGGGTGTGAGGCAGGGGGCTGCCGGAGAGCTTCCACCCCAGACAGACAGTTCTCAGGGCTTCCCCGCTCACTTGTCTAACTCTATGAGGGACAGCAAAGCAGTCCTGGCTTGGAGTGCCCTGAATGCCCACACTCGGCACATCACAGCACTCAGCTATCCGCCCGGCTGCACTTGCTGCAGGCTGCCATCCGGGGGGGGCGGGGTGTGAGGCAGGGGGCTGCCGGAGAGCTTCCACCCCGAGGAGCCCGCAGAGCCACCCCAGTCCTCCCCATCGGGGGCTTGTACCCCATTCCTCCCTCATCTCCTTCCACTTACCCCTCCCTAACCCTCCTTCCTGACATACAAAATAAAGGACACGTGTGTTCAAAAATAGAAACTCTCTTTATTGAACAAAACTCGGGAAGACTGGGAAAAGGAGGTGGGAGAGGGGAAGAGAGAGGGTGGGAGAGGGGAGGAGGAAACCTGGGAGGAGGGAGCTGGAAGGGGGAAGCCAGGGGAAAAAGGAGGAGGGGAAGTATCAAACTATGGTACGCCATATCTTCAGTACTGTATACAGATGTGGTCTCCTCACCCCAGAAAAGATATTTTGGCCTTGGAAAAGGTTCAGAAAAGGGCAACTAAAATGATCAGGGGTTTGGAACAGGTCCCATATGAAGAACGTCTAAAGAGACTGGGACTTTTCAGCTTAGAAAAGAGGAGACTGAGGGGGGATATGATAGAGGTCTATAAAAGCACGCGTGGTGTGGAGAGGGTGCATAAAGAAAAGTTCTTCATTACTTCCCATAATAGAAGGACTAGGGGACACCAAATGAAATTAATGAGTAGCAGGCTTCAAACTAATAACAGAAAGTTTTTCTTCACAAAGAAAATAGTCAACCTGTGGAACTCCTTGCTGCAGGAGGCTGTGAAGGCTAGAATTAGAACAGAGTTTAAAGAGAAGTGAGATAAAGTCATGGAGATTGGGTCCATGCAGTGCTATTAGCCAGGGGATAGAAATGGTGTCCCTGGCCTCTGTTTGTGGAAGGCTGGAGATGGATGGCACG